GCTCGTTAACTTATCGAACAAAATTAACGAGCCGAACACGAGCTTTTTAACGAGCCAAACACGAGCTGTTAGTGAACAACGAGCCGTTCTGACAGCCTTAATTGTACATTAAATTGAAATTTGATATGATGGTTTTAAAAATCTATTTAAGCGAAATTACAAAGCATGTTGCACACAAGGTATAAATATTATTGTTAGCCTTCGCATTGCCCATTTCTTTTACATGTTTATCCAAAAGGGTGTTCTTATTAGTTACAACTTGATTCTACTTCCATGACATATCAATTTTTAGTTTTCATGCTTGGTTTCTTTATTGAGATGGATTTGGCTACAAAGAAAAAAATGGTCTTGAGGTAATCCACAAGCTCGTTTATATTTCGAGCTCAAAAAGTGTACTCGTTTTTATGCCCTGATGTTAACCTCTATGTACATAATGTGAAGACTTCCTTACTATGTTCTCAAGTACCTAAAAGAGGAATAGGTAATGGTGAATGCTATTGTCCCATCAATAGGAAAAATTGATAAAACTAAGCTTAGTAGGTGCTAGTTAAGTTTTATATTTCAAAAAATATATTTTAAATATATTCTAAATTTTATTTGATTTAAAAACACATCTCCTTCAATCCTAACTATCTTTTGTTATATTGCTGGTCTTGTCGCTAATCCCGTGTGACACTAAATCAAAAGGTTGACACTCCCTTCTCTTTCGAAAGTCATGATAATGTGTAAAGCCCATATTCTCCCCTCCAAACATTTTGGGGGGAACCAATTTAGATGAGAAGGCATCATGACACTTCTAAATCTTCAACAATAAAAAAGTTGATGTCAATTACATTTTAATATTAAAATATTTTACCACAGAACACCCAGATTGTCTCAAATAATGAAGAGTGATCTTGATCTCAAAGAATTATTTTTGAATTTTGGTCTTTTTAAATACATCTCATATTTCTTATAGAACCTCATAGTATTGTTAGCTATGCCATGCTTTAGGATGAAAGAAATTTGCTACATCCCAATATCTTGTTGATATTAAAATATTTTGAAACAAAATGCTCACCTTATTTTAGTCATAAAAAGTTGCCTTGATGTGAAAGATTTACAATCTATTTCTCTTTTGAATCAGGTCTCTTTTAATATATCTCATATTTTGTGTGATTTTTCACTTTCATATCAAACATGTGCCTCAACAACAAAAAAAGGCTCAAGCTCTTCTACTCTTATACCATATTATAAGAAAAAATCTTAGTTCCTCGTAATATTTTATACAAACAAAGGAAATATAAGCATTAAAAAAGAATATTAGACATAAAAATACCCAATTCATTCCAACTTTCTAATTTTATTTGATCAACTTAAATAACGATGAACAACAAAGACAGTAGCAGACACTACAGGAGATGTTGTAGTTAGCATCAAATATTTGCGTCGGATTTTTCTGACTTAAATGTTAGTATCAATTTGCAGCCGTTAATCGGCGAATAATATATTTTGATATTTTTGTGGAGGATTTTACGTCCTCTTTGCGTCCAAAAAATTCAACGAAAAAAAAAAACACTGAAAAAGGTGAAAGTGTGTTTGGAGTTACGACGAAAATTGAATCGAATTTGCGTCCAACTAAGTGACATTCTGATTTTGAGCAAAATTGAATGCACTTTTCAATAAAAGGCTCTCTTCATTACGGAGTGCTATCAAAAGAACATTCAGTGTATGAAAAAAGAACAGTCATTCTTTAAGATATGTCGACGCGATCTTTCAAAAAATAGGTGAAGATAATTATTGCAACAATAACACTTCATTGTTTTATATGGAGACATCCATCTCAAGAGGATATCAATTTTAAGGTCTTAGATGAAGATTCTGTCTGCAAGCATGGGTAAGCATTCCAATTTCAGATTGGACATTTATTGCTTGATGATAAATTTGGTATGACTGAGCACAACACTTCTAAGGGAGAAGACTTGCGAGAGATTATACACTTAAAGGAAGAGATTACTGATGTTTTGATGAACACATCAATTGTATTTATATAGCATCACCTACTAATTCCTATTTCAGCTATACGTTAAATTATGGATATATATTTTTTAATTCTTTTTAGCAATTTGTATTGTAGCTTTGATGCGTTTTAGCTACTTTTTATTTTTTATAGTAAAACTGTTTCACTTTTTTTAATATTTTGTGGCAAATATCTACTTTCTTTGTCAATTGAAGCCATAGTTTATTATAATAACAAAAAACATGACTTCACGAGCATCAAGTATTTCGAGAGTTTTATTTTGCTAACGTGGCATGCAGTGTGTTGATTACCAATCAAGAACGAAAGACAACTGTAAAAGGAGATTTTACTGTTGTTCCAAAAACATGGTACCCGAGAATTGAAATTATTTTCGTTGGATTGATGACATGGATGACTTCACGATGGATAGCGATCGAGCCAGGAGAGATGCTACTATGGAGAGAAGATTATTCCAAAAACTTGATCATCATGACATGAAACGAACGTCATTCTAGGCTTGCTGCTTATTTTGGTTGTCATAGTTAGTGTAGTTACATGCATGAATGACTATCCATTTTTTTGCATGTTAATGTACTTTGCAATGGAGTTAAGTTTTTTGTGTAGCAGGACATCTTTCTGTTATTCTATTGTAATTATGCTGAAGACTACAATAATTATATTTATAAGAGCAAAACAACCTGTCTCATTAGAAATAACTACAACACAATAGATCTCCCAAATATACTTAGGTTTCTCCATCAGCAGCTTCCTGACAGCTTCTAAGAAATTGATTCTCCGGCTGCCTCTAGAAAAAACAGCAACTACCCCAAATGCACCCTAATATGTTAATACATTGGAATTGGTTGGTAGCTATGTAAATCTCGTAAAAAGTCATCAAGTTCATAAAAATATATTTATCTTACCATAACGTGGTATTAGAATTAGTGTAGAATGATGGAAGTCATCAAGTTTATAAAAATATATTTATCTTACCATTAAAAAATGCACCCTTATTCTTAGGTTAATGTTTATTGAGTTTTACCTTTTGATTAAATTTAATTTTAAATCAAAACATTTTTATATCATTGAGTTGAATAGTTTACTACTTCTAATTTACTTTTAAATTTTAATAAAATATTTTTGAAAGATTTACATACATACCACTTAAATTTTATTTATTTACATATCTAATATCTAAACGTCAATTTCTACATAAATCACCTTATTCATATATCAAAAATTATGTTTCACTCCTTAAAGTTAAAATGATAGTTTTTTTTAAGTAATATAAATATAATATGTAAGTTTTAGATGTTAGATATATAAATGCATGAGACATGTGTGGTATATATATAAATGCCCATTAATTTTTTTTGAACAATGGTTGTCATAAAATTGACATTTTTATAAATTAAAAGGTTAAAAAAATTAAATTTATGTTTCGTCACATCTAGGACTGTCAAAAGAGCTCGTTGTTCGCAGACAGCTGGTGTTCGGTTCGTTCGTTAAGTAAACGAGCCGAACACGAACAACTCTTTGTTCGCTTCTGTTCGACTCATTTTAGCTCGTAATAAAAAAAAAATATATAATTATTTATATAATAATATATTACATATATTATTTATATAATAATATATCTTTTATATTTATTTGATTCAGATTTAAATCCAGCGTTTTATATTTATTTTTTTATTTTTTTAATTTAATTTTAAGAAATCAGTTTCGAGTCAAATACGAACACAAATAATTTGAAAGGAGCGTTACAGCCCTCAGCCAGAACCAGGCGTTAGCTGTTTGGCTCTTTTATTAATTGTACTTTTCTGTTGACCTAGTAGCTTAGGTTCGTGTGAATTCTTCTGCTTTCCTATTTCGTCACCCAAATGGTGGTTTCGAGTTGGAAGTTGGATCAATGGGAAATTCAACGTGATAAGTGTAATTCTATAAATTCGGAAGAGGATGACCACATGGAAGTTGAACCAGAGGACCATCCTCTTCTCCATATTTTGGTCGGGGAGAATCGGTGTATTAGGGTTTCTACAGGTGCGTTGGCCCTCTCTCTGTCTCTCTCTCTCTCAATCATTAGTCCGGCTTTTGATAAGATGTTTTCCATCCTTGGGTGTTTGATAGTATCAAATGTTTGCTGAGGTGATCTGGAGGTGGAATTTGGTGATAATTTGGGGATTTATTGAAAATAAATAAATGGATTCAAGTTGAAGTCGGGAGACATTTCACGCAATTAGTCTAATGAATTAGATTTAATTAGAAGATAAAGTGGATAAAGTAATCGGAGGAAGTAGGGTAATTGGATGCTCTTAAATTTATGATTAATTTTGGAAGCTTGGCTTTTTAGCTGATATCCCTGACTGATGTCCCTGATTATTTGTAGGTTTTTAATGATTTTTAGAGTGAGTTTGGCACAATTGCTTGTGGGTTTATTTAGTAAAATCGATTTATTTTTCTTTTTTTAGCAATCATTTTTTGGCTTTTTAGTGTTTCTATTTATTATAATTTGTATGATCAATGATGATTTTCATTTCAAGGAGAGATGTAAGGCTTTAGATACTATCTCAGTTTTTTATTTTTATTTATTATTTATTATTATTATTATTATTGCCATTCTATAAAACGGGGCTAACTACCAATGGAAGCACTAGTTTTGATTTGTTGTAGTAGGATTTCATTTTAAACATGATCTTATTGAAGTCTTTTACGACTTAAATTTGATTTTGATACAATTATAAATTCTTATCATAAACAAAAAAAAATGCATCAGTACATGTTATGGATATTACTATAAACATCAAAATATCCTTTTGCTAATTTCTTAAAGCGATAAAGGAATGTCTTATAATTTATTTCATGGAACAAGTGGTGCATGCCATTATAATCATTGGATGGTCATTCTGAATGAATGATCAAGATGAAAGTATAAATAGATAAGTAATGAAGACAATGATCTAAAGAACTTGATCATTCATTGAAGGTGGTCGAGCATATCTTAGAAAGTTCTATTCAAAATTATCATCATGTTACAAGGCAAATGTTTCCATAAAAAAACTTAAATTAATTTTATTTGAAAGGTGGTTTAGTGGCTTATTATATAATACTTTGATATCATAATTCAAAATTTTACGGAAAATGAAACGAAGTCTTTCCATATTGAATTGGTTATTGTGGGAAAAAATGATTCCTAAATGCTATTTAAGATGGGTTTGTGTATGGAAATTTAAATTACTTGGTGAATAAATTTAGTCATTTTTAAATTTAATTACCATTTATGAGAAAAAAGATACCTATAATGGTTTATAATTATTAAGGGTCTGTTTGGGGCAACTGCTGTTGTTTGAAGAAATAGCTGTGAAGTTGCTGCAGAATAATAAATTATTTTTCAAAAAGCTGCAGTGACTATTATAAATTTATTTTATTTTCAAAAAGTCAAACTGCAGTTTTCTGGCAGCCATCACACTTTAACAGCTCATGTTAAAAAAAACAGCTTTTTACCACAGAAATTTTTAAAAGTAGCAAGAAAACAGTTTCCCAAAAAGAAATGTGGTGGCGGTCTGAAAAACAAAGCAGAGAGAATGATGTATGAAACAGATCCTAAATACTTATCTTCTTGGCATTGCAATTGACCAATCGGTTCAGTTCCTTCAATGAGTTTTGTTTCTCATACTCTATTTAACGTAGTTATTCTTTTTCAGGTCTTTTTATAGGTATTTTGTTGCGTTAACTTTCATGATTATCATATTCATTTGCTGAAAGCTATTACATCTGAACTTCCCGAACAATGGCAAGTTTTCTTGTGTGGAAGGATTTATAGGCATCTTGGAGCACTTGGACTCAGGTTTATATTCTACAGATCGTCTAAACTCTTGCATCATTTTGTCTATTATAGAATTTTATCTTCTTTTTTTAAGGAACTGTGCGTTTCCATTTACTGAAGGGATTGTGTAACGCAGCAGATTACTTGATAAACCAAATATGAGTATGAAACTCGTAATACGCGCATTGATCACAAATGAGAGCATGAGACTCATAATAAGCACAGTGATTGGAGTTATGCTTGGCCTCTTTATCGGAATGTCATCCCCGACAGTGATCATAACCAATGTAATGATCATAATTCTCTTATTTTGATTATTATTATTATTTTTTATCATAGTGCATGATGATATTGTTGATTTATTTTGGATTGCTAGCTTCAGTTTTCTTCTAGCTTTCTTTCGTACATCGAAGACAAGGATTCAGGCATCACAACTCATGGCTTGCTGAACCATGCTGGAACATCTGTAACTAAAACCAATTTGCCGTTGAATTCAAATGGCCCCGCAAAGGTATTTTTCTTTCTTAAAAGATGATTTTTTTTTTGTCCTTACTCTTTTGTTTATTCACCTTGCTGGAACATCTGTAAACTAAAAACAATTCGATGTTGAATTCAAATGGCACCCTAAACCCAGAAAGATGAAGATGCTACGCCTTCTTTTTAGTTGGGATTGGATTCATCCTAATATGCTTACTTATGGTTCAATATTTTTTTTATGTGCTAGCTTGGTATTATTGACTAGTCATAGGATTGACCTTTTGGGGGCGCAACAATTTTGAACTGTGTTGCAGCTACCCTATTTGGGAGGTATCACCAGATTGGATGAGCACTAGCTAAGTGGTTCCAAAATTTTATGGTTTATTAATAATCATTTGCTGGAATGGAGATAAGGGGATTCTGCTGGGTTTTGATGCCTCTTTGGCTAGCCTGGCAAAGGCATCTGCTTTACCATTGAGTATGCATGATATTTTGTTCATTGTCAAATCAGGAATGTGCTCAAGCAAAGCCATGGCTCGCCTATAATAGGACAAAATATCAGACGAGATCTTTATAATTTTCCATTACTTGCTGATCACATGCCAATAATCATCATATATTGTGATTCTCTTTATATTTGTTGAATGACAATTTTTAGCCCCAAAATTAAGGCTTTTTATATTGTTTTGCATGACTCTATTAAGCTATAATAATAACAAAGAATAACATACTAAACAGACATAAAAATAAGGCCTCTATTGAGTGAATAAGAAAAAATATAGATGGTATTAGTGAGTATGTTGTATTCATTTATTTTAGATTCAAGCTTTAAATTGCTTAGGGACCATATGGGATCACTTTTTTTTTGATGTAAAATTAAAATATGTTCGATATATATATATATATATATCACTTGAGGCGATTTATTTTGTGGCTTAACTGGGCCTGTGGTCTGTGGTCAGAGTCTTTATTGCTCTAACTAGAGACATTGTCAAATTTAGCATGAAGAAGGCCAGCTTGAAGCTTTTCATGTGGATGACAGGGCTATGATTTATCATCTGCTAACTGAAACCTGAATCCAGTTAGCTGATTTAATCAAAATCATGATTTTTATGGGAACAAAGATTGGAAATACCTGCCCCTCTTGCGGGCATCACGATTTTGGTTGACATAATTTTGGAGCAATTGATCCATCTCCATTAGAGAAGCAATGAATTATTTTCTATAAAGAAACACAACCTTGCCTAGAAGTCCATAATATGGGCCAATTTTGAATAAATGGTGTGTCCTGATGGTATGTCTTGCCAGTTAACATGAAATTTTATTTAAGTGCATTCATTCACAAAATTTCAATGTTATATAGATATGCTAGCACATTTTGTAAGTCACTGAGACTTCATATATATTTATTCTAGTTTTACAGTCTACTGCACTTTTTCTGACGCATTATTTGTTTGGATTTTCTTAACTGCGGTTCATTACAACTTTACTTGTTTGATCCTCAGTTTGCATTAATTTACTAATCTTGTTTGCTTGTCTTGACAAAACTTATTAGATAAATTTGGTTTTCATATTTCTTATTACTGAATGGTTATATATTTGAAAAATCATGATTTTTATAGATTTATGTTCCTTCAAATCCTAAAGGGGCAGAAAGACTACCACCTGGGATTCTTGCACGTGAATCAGATTTTTATCTACGTCGATTGTGGGGTAGTCCAAGTGAGGTATATTGTGTTATCATCATACAATGTGGTTTGATTATCTTATTACATACCTGTTCATTGTTTTGTATGTGCATATAATATAAATTGCATGTTCATTATTGGTTATATAATCATCAAATTGAATTTTTTGTAATTTTTATTTGATACTATGACCTTTCAACTTCTTGTTCTAGGTGAAACAAGTGAAAATTATATGTTTGCTATTTAACCTTTCTATATTGCTGCTCTAAACGGTTTTGTTCTTAATATTGCCGGAAAATTCCGGTCATCCAAATATGCTGAATTTAACTGCTTGAAATTCATCTAACCGGTTCTAAGGTGGATTTGATTATAATTCTTAATATAACCACTGCCAAATGTTTATAACATAAGAATGCCATCCAAATCTGCTAGATCTAGTTTAATATTTTTTTGCAGCTGTCTCATATACGAAGACACATCAACAGTGGTTGTATACTTGGTTGTTGCTAATCGTAGAAATAAAAAAATATGGGAAGAGAAATAAAAAGAAGTTATATTAATTAAAATTAAATTAATTGAATTAAAATTTTTTGTTTTCCCGCCTGTTGGAGCCTGCTCTAGTGGGATAACCACTTCCACTATTCTCTTCGGTTAAAAAAATACAAATCAAGGTATCACAGCATTTCGTACTGTTTCGGTTTTCCCCTTCGATCTCTGCTTGAAACAGTATCAGAGCAAAGTCCTTTAGTTCTGCTATCCCTCTCTTAAGATCCACTTCTCATGGTTCTCCCTCTCCACTATCATAAGTATTATCTTCTCCGCCTCATTCTTCTTTACCCGTTGCGCAACATAAGGCACTATTACCCTATTTCATTCGCACAGTTTTGTCTTCTACGTCCAAGTCGCACGTAGAAAAAAAAGAAGTATATAACACAATCCTTTTCTCTATTCAAACCCAAGCTGATCTGAATTTGCCTTGCACAGTGTTGTAATTTTTCCCTATCAAAGATTCATAGTCTAACGCCCCAACGCAATCTCTTCCCTATTCATGCAAGAAGTCCTAGCCGACCGAACACATCCCTGCCACGTCTCCTCTGTCGTCTGTCTCACGCACGACAATCGAATTCCAAAATTCTCGAAGCCTCTTCAAGTGAGCCTTACTCCCTCACCTCTGCACCCAAGCTGCCGCCACCTTCTGCTTCCTAACTGCACAAAACCTTCGCTCATCGCCCAAGGAAATCCTCCGCTCGGTTGCCCTCTGTCTGAGCCTTCTCCCTCTGTCGTCACAAAGTCGATTTAATTCCCCTATGCAGAGGCCGAATCTCGTTTTTCTTGCACTGAAACCCACTAAAACCTACAATTTCCTTCTGCGATAGTCTTTGCGCTTAAGCTGCTCTCCCCGTGCAATCCTTTCTATATTTAATGGAACCTGATATAAAACCTCAGCTCGGCTTGCTCCTCCTTGTTGGCAAACCCAATCCCTTCTACCTAAAGCCCATTGCTGAACCCATCTATTTGTTATTTTAATTCGAGCCTGATGTCACGCTCCGCCATCTTTAAGAAATTGACAAGACAATCATGAGATGGAAGATTCTAGAAAAGACCAGATGGATAAGAGCAATCTATGTAATTCTAAAAGATTTCACCTCATTCTAGAGAATGTTAGAAATAAAAGCTACTAGGATAACTTAAGAATAACCTAGAAAGATCTAGGACTATGTATGTATATAAGAGAATGGTGTAGAACTATCTTGAAACTATACTATTCTAATGTAATCTAGAATGTTCTATTAAGTTTGGAGAGGACTATAAATATGAGTCCCCCCTCTCATTTGGATCCATCCAACAACCATACAAGGTTCCAAGCATTCAAGTATTGTAATCACTCTTTTTTAGTGAAGTGTCTCCTTTCTCCAATATTTCTCTCTATTTTTTTTTCCAAGAGTGTTGTGTGCTTACAAGCCCTAGCGTTGTGAAACCTCTAATGTCTGACAAGGATGCTCTATTCAACTTTATGGATGAACTCCAACAGTGGGTGAAAACTGAGCTTAGGAGACGTGGAGCACTAGATCTTGTTACTATCATCACCATTGTTGAAAGCTTTGTTGACCATACAAAGGAGTCTACAAAGCCAAGGGAAAGGAAGAGTAACTATGTCAAAAGTGGGGGAGACAAGGACCAACACAAGAAAGAGACCCGTCATGAATCGATCCCATCCAAGGCAAAAGATAAGGGGAAGTCTAGCAACAATAACAAAACTAAACCACACAAAAAATGCTTTCTTTGTGGAGGACCTCATTGGGCAAGAGATTGACTTCAGAAGAAGACCCCGAACTCTCTCGTTGCAAGCCATCAAGTGGAAGAAGGAAGCGATATGACAGCACAAGAAACAATGCAACTGCTCAAGGTGGTGCACTCCTCTCCAAAAACCCCGACAAAAGGATTTCTCTTTGTGGAGGTGATTATAGGTAGGATATCTACTAAAGCAATGATAGATATAAGAGCTTCTTACAACTTCATCTCTATTGAAGAAGCAAAGAGGATGGGTATATAGGCAACTGGAGGAGGGGGCTCCATCAAAGCAGTAAACTCGGCGGCTAGGCTAATCCATGGAGTGGCCAAAGGAGTGAAGACCCGTCTCGGAGATTGGTCAGGTACACTAAATTTCTCCATCATTCCAATGGATGATTTCAAGGTAATCCTTAGTTTAGAATACTTAGATCAAGTGAAAGTGTTCCTAATACCATTTGCCAATAGCATGTGCATCACGGAGGGTAGCCAGACTTGCCTAGTACCAACAACAAGGACTAATAAGCAAGAAGTCAAAATGTTATTGACCATTCAATTCAAGAAGGGCATCGAGAGTAGGAGAGCTACTTGGCTGTTCTTCATGACTCTGATGAAGAATTGAAGCCCCAAGAAGACATGCCAAGGGAAAATGGTGGCAGTACTCGAGGAGTTTAAAGATGTTTCACTAAAAGAACTACCACCAAGAAGGGAGAAAGATCACAAGATCAGGATGGAGCCAAGGACTGAGTTGCCAGCCATGAAGCCTTACTGTATGACACCCCTCCCCCATACAACCAAAGAAAAATCCAAGTTTGTCAAGTCTGTGAGCAAGTAAAGGGAGCTGGTCCTAGTGTCACTACGTTAGACTACAAGAAGAACTACAAAATGGGCATACAAGAAAAAACTGGCGGTGCCAAGAGGAAGCCGCAATGAGGGCATTTCGAACTTAAGTGAGGGAGGGTGTCACCCTCCATCATCTTTAACAAAATGGCAAGTGAAAGATTCTAGAAAAGACCAGATGGACGAGAACAATCCAAGTAATTCTAGACGATTCCACCTCATTTTAAAGAATGTTGAAAAGAAAAACTCCAAGGATAAAGTAAAAATAACCTAGAAAAATCTAGGACTATGTATGTATATAAGAGAATGGTGTAAAACTATCTAGAAACTATACTATTCTAATGTAATCTAGAATATTCTCTTAGGTTTGGAGGGGACTATAAATAGGAGTGCCCACCCTCCATTTGGAACCATCCAACAATCATCCAAGTTTCCAAGCATTTAACTGTTGTAATCACTCATTCTTAGTGAAGTGTCTTTTTTCTCTAATACTTCTCCTTATTCTTCTTCCAAGAGTGTTATGTCTTTACATGCTCTAGTATTGTGAGGGTTAGACTGATTTAGTGCCAAGAAGGAGCACTAAAGCCGTACCAAGCCGAATGTTAGTTCGTGACACCGAATCTTGAATCCTTTGTTTGCTAGCTTAACCAAGCCAAGTATTTATTGGATTTGTTTATGTTTTGTTTATTGTTTATTTTACTTTGATGTCGTGTGTTGTAAAAAAAAACAGAGAGAGAAACATACATGTATTTTATTTTTATTGCTGTCGTCATCATTGTTGCCGACAATATTAAGGTTCGACAGCTATAATTGGGGCAATGGGACAAAAATTTTTGAAAAACTCCATTCAAGAGCAAAGTAACCGTTATGTGGGAAAATTACGAACTCATTTATGAGAGTTCTTTTAAAATTAGGGTTTTTTGCAGGTACAATATCGGGACAGTTGGGAAATTTTTTTTCCCAAACCTCCATTCGAGAGCAAAGTACCCGTAAGGCAGGGAAAAATGCGAAATCATATCGAGAATTATTTTTAAAATCAGGGGGCTCTTTGTTTGCTATCTAATCCTTCCTATAGGTAAACTGAAGGCTTGTCGCATCTCTTGAGATCGCGGGTTAAATGTTCTTTTTGCTTCCCGTTGCATCTTGTGAGACCCCAGGATGAAAACTCTGTTTTGCTCTCCGACTGCAGTGTCTTACGGGACTGATCGATGATTCTTCTAAGATAGCTAAGAAGGTTGACACTAATTGGGGTTGATGCTGGGGGGTTACTGAATTTTCGGGTGATTTGAACTTGTAATCAACTTCATATATTTAAAATTTTGAGCTTATAATATAAAATAATATATGACTCATTTTGAATTTTAAAATGACTTGTAAACTCGAGTTTTTAAAATTTAGGCTCTTAGGGTTTTAAAGTATCAGGGACTCGAGCTTTTAAATATTTAGGCTCTTAAGGTTACAAAAATTTTAAAGTTTCGGGCTTTTGAAACATAAACTTTCAGGTCTTAAAAATATTAAAAAAATCATACTCTAAAATTTAAGCTCAAAAGACTTAAAAATATTCCGAATTCGAGCTATTTAGACTTAGGCTCCTAGGGGTGAATCATGATTCAAGTATGAAGTTTTCTTAAAAGTTGAAATAAAAAACTGCCATTGAATTCACAATACTCTTGCTAGCGAACGGAAGACAATAATGGCTAAAGGTCTTCAAAGTTTATATAAACTTCATGTTAATTCCTAAGTCAAATATAATAATTTGGAATATATGAAAATATTTTGAGACTCAGTTTGTATTCTCTCAAATTGTGTATGCTTTAAGAGAAGCGTATAGATAAGAATCAGATACATGATTTTAAAATCTCTTGTTCAAAATTGCAAATCATAGCTACGGGTTAAAAGTTACACAAGCCTTTAAAGTCTAAAAATTCTTTAAGCTATTCAAATATATAGATTAAACGCTCGCATGTGCTCCAAACAAAGTATAGAATGTTCAAATACGAGGTTCGAGAATGTTGTGTGGGCTAATCGAGCCGCTTTGTCTATACAGTAGATTTGTAAGTCTCATCCTATTAGTTTGATCCTCTTCGCAAGGATTAGAGTTGACGGTCTAGTAAGCCACAATAAATGTCCAAATCCTGAAATACGAGTATATAAGTTCAAATCACCAAGTTAGTCTGATTCTCCTTCTTATAAGGACAGGAGTCGACAGAACTTATATTTTGAGAAGCTTGAACTGACAAAATTATTTGTCCCTTCATATATAAAAGTTTAAAATATTTAATACATCAATATGACCTAGTTGTTAGAATATTTCAACCGGAGGGGTTAATCTTTTAAATCAAGGCTTTCAAAATAAACAAATAAAATATCCAAGCTAAAAATCAATCACTAAAGATTTAAAGCAAATCTCATTCACCCTCCTCGACGGTTTGTCGATGGTGACAAACTTCTGATTGACTTTAGCTCACAGAGAGCAAAGATCATATCATATGTATCAAATATATTCACAATCAAAGTAATTGCATGCTAGTAAGGATGTGACCAGAGTCCCCTGTCTGTGTGATTCTGCCATAAAATGACACCACAAAGTAGCGATTACGACCAGAGCTCTCTGATCGAATGGTTGTCGCCAAATTACACAATTATATTACAGCACAACTGCAACCCGTATGTTTCTCTTCGACTTTCTACCATTTGAATTGTGAATCATAAAAATACAATTGATTGACATAAAGGCTTTTGTTAACTAATACCGACTTAAATATATCCCCTTAGATAAACATCCACCCCAGATCTATAAGGATTTCTTGAACGATGGAACTCATGGCTGCTGACAAGAATTTTTCTGTCAAGTTGGGTCGACTAACTCCTCTGACTAAATGTTGCGTTTCGTTTTCATTCTCCCAAAATCCGCTTTAAACTCCAAGTGATGGATTTTACAATTTAAAATATTATATGTTTGCTACTATTATATGTTAAATTTTCAATTCTTAATGACAAGCCTTAATTGAAAGTGCTCTTTCGTTATCAGGAGAGGTAATTAATCATAGCGGCTTGCGCCTGTGGGAAACCTTGAATCCTAGATCAAATAGCCATCGCTAAATGAGGGTGAAATCTCTGGGTAGTGTTCTATCTACAATCCAATCTATCTTCTGAAAATTCGACCCTCTAAAGCTCGCTCTCTCAAAAAAAAAATAAATAAATAAACGCGGAGAGTTGTTATGAGGAGCTGTCGAATTTTAGGAGCCAGCCCACAGTTGTTTCATTTACATCATTTGGTGGGAGATTTAGAGCCATAAATCCTGGTAATGAACAGTGGGAAAACAAATGATATCATGATTCCAAATAAATTCTGGACGATTCAATTGCACTATTGGGTTATCTGAAAGGCATTCCTTCGAATGAGTAATTCTCAGATGTGAAATTCGTCAGGAATATTGTTTCAACCTTAAAATATATTGCTTATAACAATGTTAATTTGAAATATCACTAATTGAAGGCAAACATGACCTGTTTATTCGTTTCAAAATTGCAAATTGACTGTAAAGATCATTTAATAGAAAAGTGTCAAAATGATCCTCTGGTTCTTTGTAGAGGATCATTTTAGTCCCAGAATTTATAGAAATATCAATTTAATCCCCGAACTCTTTATATATGGGCTGAAAAGTCCCAATGGAGAACTATTTTAGTCCCACTTAAAATAATTTAATGGCTAATTTTACATTTAAATAAACTCTGTGATTATAATGACCCAAAATAAATACTTGATGGACCATATTGACATTTTACTCGATCATTTGTTGTTGCTGCTGAGCAAAAGAGGACAGAAACTTTGCAGTGAACTGCTTTTTATGAGCATATCAATGTCAGGTGTATGGTTTTACTTGAAATGAATTTTAGTTATTTTATTCTCTTTAGATTGCGATAGAAAGTTTCGTCAACTATTGTTGCAGGATCTACGAATACAGCAGAAGTACCTAGTAGCATTCGCAGTCGGACTTGGTCAAAAGGAGAATATTGATGCAGCGGTGAAAAAGGTTATTAAGATTATTTGTGTAGCACTTTATAAAATTTTGCAATTCTGAGCTCTATTCTCAGACAAATGGTTGATAGTTATAGTTGATTTATGTTTATAACTAGAATTTTGATTCTATTGATTTTTTTCAAGGTTTTCATTGATGATTGATTCAAGTTGGTGTGCCAACATGCAAACTTGATTAATATTTTCTTAGTTCACATGTTAAAGCCATAATTGGTAAAAACCAGTGTAAAGTTGTGTATATTTGTTCTTTTGTAAAATAGATGCAAATAGTGGAAACCTATCTTACTTAGATTATCAAGTATTTAATCTCTAATTAACTAATCCTAAACTCATTACCTTGCAATACTTTTATCATTTTGTTCTATTCTTTTGCTTGCTTTTAAAGAGAGTAAACTTATCATATGTATACCAATTGAAATTAGATGCTTATGTGACTCACTTATCATATATTTTTTTAAAAGCATCTCCATAACTAATATAAATAAATTTAGACATTTTTTCCATCCTTGATGTACTAGATAAAAAATTTTGTGAGTACTCCTTAAGTACTTCACAAGTATTACTAGTCTTAAGCATGGTCACTTGTAGGTTTTTAGAACTCGGAAGGATGATATTATTGCTATGGAAAGGGGGTATAAATACATGATGTAATGATTCTAAAATAGGAAAATATTATACCCAAATATCTACCTAATAACTACTTAATGATAAATGGAAAATCATAAACTAGGAAATGCAATAAATAGGAAATAACCAATAAGGAAATTAAATAATTTCTAACAATAAACTAAAGAATTCTAACACTTCCTTTCCAGTTGAAGCATAAATGTTAATCATGTTCAACTTGAATTTTAAATCGTCAAACAACGGTCGAGAAATATTCTTTGTGAGAATATATATGAATAGACTTGTGGATGAGACAAAAGGAACACAAATTTCCCCTGAATCAAGTTTCTCCTTGATAAAGTGACGGTTAATCTCCATATGCTTGATATGATCATGTAGGACCAAATTATAAGCAATGTTGATTGTGGTTTTATTCTCATAAAACAGCTGAAAAAAATGGAGATCAACATACTTAACTCGCGGAGCATGATGCGCAACCAGAAAGCTTCACATACCCCCTAGGGACATAGAACGAAACTTGGCTTCATCACTGCTTTGGGCAACCGCATATAGTTTTTCACTTTTCCACGTGACAAGGATTTCCTATACAAAGATGCAATAACCCATGGTAGCTCGTCAATCATGGACAAACCCGTCCCAATCGACCTCCCCTATAATTTGCAATATAGCGAGAGGTTTGACAATAAAACAACAAACCTGAGCCCAGTGTGTTTTTTAGGTAGTGGAGGATTCAATGTACAATGGTGAGATGGTACTCGTAGGGATCATGCATGAATTGACTAACAATAACAATGACGTGACAAATGTCCGGGCATTTATAGGCTAGGTAAATGAGTTTTTTCACTAGGCGCTGATAGTGTGGCCTGTTCATCGAAACAACATTTGGACAATCTGCCAAATTTTCACTGGGATCCATCAAAACAGCTACCGGTTTGCAAAGAAGTAGTTTTCTCTCATTTAATAAATCTCTCACATATTTGTATTGGGAAAGGCTAATGCCCTGAGAGGACCAAGCTACTTCCATACTTAGGAAATATTGGAGAGAACCCAATTGACAATGTAAAAGCATAATTGGAAATGCAGTAGATGGAATAACTAGAATTATGGGATTGTGCCTGCATCATCAATGCGATTGTTTTTTTTAAGAAGTGGAACTTGACTACCCGCTTAACAGTCCTAATCATCCTCCTAAATAATGATCCCGAAAGACACAAACATCAAGAGAAAAATGAACACAACACAATCAAGGTCAATGTCAACTTCCTGGCTGATAAGATGTTATAATTAAGTAAGGTACGTGTAACACAGATTCCAGAGTCAGCTCAGTTGTAGTACAATTGACCCTTTACCCGCAATAGAATTACAGGTGTCGTCGACAATTTTAATATTGTCTCGTCCGGAGCATGAAGAATATGTCAAAAAGAATTGAGAGCACCTGGTCATGTGGTATGTGACACTTGAATCAGTAATCTACAGACTAGAAAAAGAAAAACTAGTGAGTGTCATAAAAATGCTATCTTGAAAAACAAGAAGGCCGACAGGGCAGAGCAAAACTGACTAGATCCAAGTAGTTTAATTAGGTGTTCCATCTGACTCTTGATGGAGCTGGTTATTCGGGGATGGTTCGAGTGGGGCTTGGCTGAACTGTTGTGGATTTTGAGATCACAGCGAGACCTTTAACGATGGAAGATTTGGTTGAAAACTTGTTTGTCGGCTTCTCATGGAGCTTACAACAGTTTTCACGGGTATGGTAGGGTTTGTAATAAAAATCACATATGAAATCGGCTGAATTAATGACAATGTAGCAGTGTGTGGAGCACTATTAGAGACCAAGGCTGAAGAATCAACTGAATTAGTGGAGTTGCTAAGCATGACGAATCTCTGGTTTTCCTCGTGGTGGACCTCAATGAATAATGTGCATGTTGAAGGAAGAGGATCACGATCAAGTACGACCACATACTTCGTCGAGATCCTTATTTAGGCCTGCCAGAAATTGGAACACGCGATCCTTTTCTAGATTTTTTTGAAAGAGTGAAATATCCTCAGGAGAGTCTCGCGTGTAGTCATATAGTAGAGTCACATTCCATCCATAAGGTAACTAAGTCGTTGTAGTATTGTGTCACTGTATTCGATCCCTGTTTTGCATCGCACATCTTATTAGAAACATCAATATAGTTGTCCAGAATTCTCTGTGTCCTAGTAGGTATCTCGAATGGCAGTCCAGAGGGCACTAGCAACGGAGAAAATTGGTGCGAACGACCAATCGAGGTTTCCATAGAATCAATCAGTCATGACAGCACTATGAAATCCTCTATTTTCCATGTTGCATATGTTGGGTTGGTCTTCAGAGATTCACGAATCATACCTGTGAGAGGGCCAAAATTACCCCAACCTTCGAAGAACAATGTAAGAGCTTGAGACCATTGGAGGAAATTTAAGCCGTTAAGTTTTTGAGTGGTAATCAGGAAATTCATGGACTTGTCTTGCCCTCTAGTCTACGAAGGGATTGAGGAAGGTGTCGATTAAAGCTCAGTAGTGGAGGAATCTGCCATGATTCTGACGAAGCCAAAGGGGTGTGGTTTGGGTGCCGCGACATAGACATGGACGGTCCCTTATGCAACTGACAGCAAAGTAGGATGGGAAGATTCCAGCTAGCAAGAGGGAGGTCCAACTGCGGGAGGGCCTGCAGGGGAGAAATCTTTCTACAGGAGGGAGTTCTGACAGTCCTGAAAGGTGATCTCGCCAACGGGGAAGATTCCAGCTAGCAAGAGGGAGGTCCAACTGTGGGAGGGCCTGCAGGGGAGAGATCTTTCTACAGGAGGGAGTTCTGACAGTCTTGAAAGGTGATCTCGCCAACACTCGCCAACGGGAGGGAGGTCCAACTATGGGACAACCAGTAGGGAAGGGATCTGACGACTGAAAAAATGCAAGAGAAGGTCTGCAAGTTCGTTCCAGCGGCTGGTGTAAGATCCGTGACTCTGATACCATGAAGGTTTTGAAAATGGAGTGGGATGATATTATTACTATTGAAAAGGGTATAAATACAAGATACAATGGTTCTACAATAGGAAAAATATAATACGCAAATCTCTACCTAATAACTACTCAATGATAAATGAAACTAAGAGGCCATTTGGTTGAGTGAATTATTGGTGTATTGTAAATCTTTTGCAGAGATTTGAGAAAATTGTGTTTGGTATAAAAATTTACAAATACAATGCAATGTTTGAATGACTTTCAAGTTTACACCATAGTTAATTTTAGCTGAATTTAGAATTCAACTGATTTGGCCGTATTTGTTACATCATTCATGTAAAATGTTATAGACAAGTCCGTCGCACGCCTGCTGCCCGCCCACTGTTGCCGCTCTTAGCTGCCCTCTGCCATCACTGCTCACTGCCACTAGCCGCCGGTGGCAACACCTCCGCCACCACCACCACGCGCTGGTCGCTGGCGTCACCTCTACAGCCTACAACCTCCCTCCTCCTATGTCTTTTCCACAGCCTATGTCTGCTGCTCGCCGTCACCAGCCAATATTGCCGCCCCCCGCCACCTACCACCTGCCGTCGACCGTCGTTGTTCGATGCTTGCTACCATTTGCCTAAGTAAATACATTATTTTCAATCTACTTCAAACCAAATAAAAAATTATAAAGTTTTATACATAATCTTTTACATTGCATTTCATTTTTAGTAGACCAAACAGCCCCTAAATAATTGCTAACATCACTTAAAGTGCTTTTATAATTGCAAAATAATAATGTCCAAATGAAACCAAGTATAACTTTTCCCCTTACATTTATATCTTGTATTCCTTATATATGATGAATATTCTCATAACTATCCTTTACCTACTGGTTTTAAATTAAAATAGTCCATTTACTTATTTGAGTTCTTTTTTTTTTTGGGCCTAACTTCTAATTCAATTTGGGGAGCACAGGCGCTAACACCCTTCACAGTATCTTCATTGATAATTAACTAGAAACAATCAACTTAACAACTTTATTTATCTTAGTAATTTTATTTGTATTCTTTATCTCCAGTTATCCTTTTTCTTAAATCCTATCATTAACCTTCCCAATCCTTTTTCTTAAATCCTATCATTAACTTTCCCAATCAACAACAAATTAAAACATTTATTAATTTTGTTTGATCAATCCTTTTCATTTTTATTTCCTGCAAATATGAAGTATTCACTATTCTACTTGTCATCAACAAATTGTCATTTGGCACAAATCTCGAGGCTATTAGCATGAATTCCAGAATATTTTCTGAGTAAGAAAAATTTAGACTAAAAGTAAAAATCATCGAACTCCAATTTTAGCAAATTTATAGTCAAACTGATTGACTCGACGAGACAATCCCAATAACACAAAAATTGGCTCAATTCAAGTCAAATTAAACTCGCATCAAGCCATTAAATCACTTTTAGAAGTTTTAGATGGCTAATTAGAGTTCAAATGAATTTCAAATCTGACAAGTTTATAGTGAAATCGAGCGTTTTCACATAACGAGCCTAACACACCCAAGATCACTCAATTTTAACATCATTAAGACACTTAAATATTCTCAAAAAATTGTTCGATTGGTAGAATTTCTTCGGGTCTTCCGATGAAGTGGTATAAATTCCTTTTTTATTTGCAAGGATGACACTTTCGGACTGTATAAATAGAACCCTACCCACTTCATAAAAGAGTAGTTCGACCTTGAACTAGAGGAAGGAAGAGCTAAATTGGAGTCGGTAAGAAGGAAATGAATTTGGGCGCCATTACGGATCGAAGACCCTGCAAATGATTTCACTCTTGCAATCTCTGACCATTATTGACTGCTGCTCTCCAGCCACTGTTGACTACCGTCGTCCGCCACGTACTCGTTTCAATGAAGCCCCTCGTGGATTCATGATGTACGCTGCGAAAATAGTAGCACACTTTGCGAAGTTAGACCAATGTTGCAAAGTCATGAGATGCCCTACATAGAAGTGGATCATCTTGAACAGTGTGCAATGACGCATCTCAAAGACGGTGCACCGAAGTCCCGACAACTACTCCCAATTGCAACTGCACACGACTGTTGTACAATAAATCATTTTGCATACAATCATTGAACTTCCATGAACTATATAAATCTTTCACGTCTGTGAAACAATGGGCTGAACATGCACTCATCAACTTATAAGAGATCGTTTTGACTGAGTTAGGTTCTATTATATTTTTCCCTTTTTTGGGGTTTCCACGTAAAAATTCTAATGTCTCTACCTGCCACTTCAGTTACTTGTGTGTGTGATGAACTTTCATTCAATATTTTGATGTTAAATAATTACTCTAGTGCTAAGAATCTTCTAGCACGCAGCACTACTCATTTTTCTACTCATTGTGTACACAAATTTTCTATCTTGTCAAAAATTCACTAAGTTTTCTATTGGAAATCTAATATTAGTTTTAGAATTAATCAATCTTAGTCAAGTGTTCAAATTTATCAAATTTATATGTTGCGACATTTTATGTGATCTGCAGCATTTTACTTGTTTTTGGTAGCATGTTTACCTTCCCGGAAACTTAACCTGAATGCACAAATTAAGCATTTACCAGGCACTGTTTTTTTGTTTAATATTTTCTCTGTTTTTCTAACTGCTCGTGATACTTACTGGTGCAGTTCTCTGAAAATTTTACCATCGTATTATTTCATTATGACGGACGGACTAGCGAATGGGACGAATTTGAGTGGTCAAAACGAGCAATCCATGTAAGTGCAAAGAAGCAAACTAAATGGTAAGTCACGAACATGCAGATCTATTTCTACCTTTGTTATGGTTACAATGTTTCTAACTATAGTTAATCTAAATAAAGGTGGTTTGCTAAACGGTTTTTGCACCCTGACATAGTTGCCTGTTATGAATACATTTTTATCTGGGATGAAGATCTAGGAGTAGAGCATTTTAATGCTGAGGAGTAAGTTTTTTACCATTTATGCACATAAATGATTTCTAGTTAATGAGTTTGGAAAAATTAATGGTATATTTTCTAGGTACATTAAGCTGGTCAGGAAATATGGCTTGGAAATCTCACAACCTGGTTTGGATCCAAACAGTGGGTTCGCATGGCAAATGACTAGAAGGATGAGTGATCGTGAAGTTCACAAGTGAGTGCTTGATTACATTAAATAAATGGGGCATTCACATACAAAAGTCCCAATTATTATGTATTTACACATCAAACACCTGAACATTTATATTTACATGTATTCCACTCAAATCTTTATCATCAAATAAAAAATAGGACCAACACTATTTTCTTAAAATTGAAATACATCTTTCCATATATAGGTTTATGACACCAACGTTTTATAAATGTAATATCACATAAAAATTGCGTGGTATTTATGTAAATTTTCCTAAATAAAAATGCCTTCAATTTTCTACCTGGTTGCTTTCATTTTCAGCAAAAGTTCTACACATCTTTATATATATAACAATCTTATAAAATTTGACTGTGAACAGGGAAACAGAGGAGAGACCTGGTTGGTGCACTGATCCCCACCTCCCTCCATGTGCTGCGTATGATTCATACGTTTCTTGTTATCATTAGTTTGGAGCTATTGCAAATTTGAATTTTTTACTCCCGCCTTTCTTTTTTATGATTTCTCAACTTAATTTCAGATTTGTTGAGATAATGGCGCCTGTCTTCTCACGAAATGCATGGAGATGTGCATGGCATATGATTCAGGTGAGACGATGAACAAATTTCTGAAATGGCGCAAACAAAGTTCAGATTTATATTTCTGTCCTTTTGATGTTGTAGAATGATCTGGTTCATGGATGGGGCCTTGATCTTGCGCTGAGAAAATGTGTGGAGGTACCTATTCATTATATGCATTGAATAATCATATTCAGTTATTAAAATCTAAATTTTCTGCTTACCATGAACCAGCCTGCACATGAGAAAATAGGAGTTGTAGATTCTCAATGGATTGTTCATCAAGTTGTTCCTTCACTTGGTAATCAGGTAAAGTGAACTTTTATGTAATGCGTATAAATTTTGTAACTATAAATTAAGCTGATTGTATGACTTATCTTTACGGTATTCATCAGGGAAAGGCAGAAAATGGAAATGCTCCATGGGTTGGGGTATGGAACTACAAATTCATTAATCTCCCATTCTTGTATTTCAGTTTATTAACCCTGGTTTTCGTCAACCGGAGTCATCATTCCTGTCATTTTCATGTTATAAAGAATAGTGACTATTGTTTTGTAAAAGAAAATTCATTCTTCATGAATATACGTGGTGGCAGGTGAGAGAGAGGTGCCGAAACGAGTGGGGGATCTTTCAAACTCGATTAGCCGACGCTGAGAAGTCGTATTACATAAAGATGGGGATTAATCCCCCAAATGATACACATGCCTAGATTATATGAGTATATTTTCATAGATTAATGCCCTCCCTCACCTTGTGGTCCCATTCCAAATATGAGCATATTGTTGGTTCCATAGTTCAAATATGGAGTTAGACCACAAACAATTTTGTGTGGGTTTGGGTTATTTCATTGTGTTGAGTAATTTTGATATAAGTAATCTGATTGGTAATTTTGTTTTATTTGGGGAGCTCATCATAGTATCTCGCAGATTTGATCAAAATATTTGTCGCAATGGGCTGCTCTTATTTCATATTTTTCACTGCATGACACTAATTTTGAGCCAAAGAATTGCTTTCATGGTCCAGCTGGCAGGTACAGATCTTAGACTTCAAATTCTAATGCATAAACGATTTGATCAAAATATTTGTCGCAATGGGCTGCTCTAATTTCATATTTTTCACTGCATGACGCTAATTTTGAGCCAAAGAATTGCTTTCATGGTCCAACTGGCAGTTACAGATCTTAGACTTCAAATTCTAATGCATAAATTCTATTCCTCTTAAAGCAATGCTGTGCTATAATTTTAATTTATGTGCAAATGCTATGCATTAATGGCATAAATTATAGTCTATGATGTTTAATTATGATTAATGATAGTACTTGCTTGTGATTATGTAAAGATCAATGATCTTTCTTGCTTAAGATTACGTGTAAGTGATATCTTGCTTTTGATGGATCTATAATGGTGGCTAACCAAAAACGATTCTAGGGTTGTATTTGGCCGCATCCCGGATTTATGTTAAATAGGATTTTGTAAATCCGATTTGGATTTATCAAATTGTTGATGGAGAAGCGTGCTCAATGGAATAATGGAATAAATCCTTTAAATTTGTTGCAAATGGGATTTTAATAAATCTGCATTGGTGCGAATATTTCATACGTATAACTTAAATGTTACATTCTTAATATTTGGGTGAATTTTCGTTAAATTCATGCCTAAATCTTATTTTAGAAAATGTTCCTAATTCCTTCAGAGCATTAGCCGCCTATTTGTATATAGTGACGTGATAGCCAATCACCTGGGCACTACGTTGCTATATATCTCATCTGCAGATGATGTGACGCCCTATGGTTGGCTGTCTGATATTTGTTCAAGATGAAGGCCCTTAAATGAATCAACTCAAAATTCCATATATTATTTCCCAAACATTTTTAAAATTTTCCTTTTTTTTTTTTTAATAATATTGTTGAACAAATATAGTTGATGGCACTTTACAAAAATTCTTGTGTAGAATAAAATAATTTAGCCCAACATCTTCCCTCAGCACAAATGGAACTGCCAATAACCTTGATATGTTGGGGCATTTACATGCATCACACAATTATTATCAATTTATGTATCTAACACCCAAATGTTCATATTTGCTTACATAACACTCTAAATCAAAATCTTAAGCATTATATAAAAAAATAATAATGTACATTTAACACCCAATTGGTATAAATATAAATATAAGCTTTAGGGGTTACTCATGTAAATAAAAAAAAAATTGTGGAATGTATGTAACTTTCCCTAATATATCATGTTACCACAAGAACAATGATTCAATGGCTGTTCTAAGAGGTTTTGTACAAATGGCAATTTACCCTGAAAGTCTGTCCCCTTTCTTGTTTTGACATATACGTAACTTAAAACAATAATCTTAATTAGAGCTGATCATATCAAGATAAGACCGGCAGGCTGGCCTTGCATTAAACCTATTGGTCCAAGTTTAACACAAATCAGCCTTGATGGTGTCATCTCCCAAAAGAACTATTAGGGGTGGTGGGCAGCCCAGGACTTAAATACTGCTTTCGACCCTACACCTAGCCGATGTGAGACTATTTTGTCCCGTGACATTAAGCTGTCATGATTAATTTAAAAAGAATGTTGTCATTTTATATTTGTCATGCCAAGTTGAAGAAAACGACATTGCATCTCAAACTTAAAATTAAAATCATTAAAACCACGCCATAATAAGTATGTTTCATGTTCTAGCATGTGTTTGCTTTATATATATATATATATTCTTTGGTAATTTTCTCTTTTCCCTTCTATTGATTTAGATGTCAGAAACCTACATATATTTCATTTTTTAGAAGTTAATAATTAGGATGTTCTATATGTGATAATAAATATTAGAATGTTATGTATATAAAGACGAAAGTTAAGGTGTCAGATCTTTATTACATAAGAATTGTGTGGCATGTATCTAAATGCTCTGAACAAGTTAATAATTTAATATACTAAAGTCTAAATCAAAATGAATGACTTGAACATTTTGGATATGATTTTAAATAAAATTTCTAATTGATTTATTCCTTAACTGACCAAATTGGCTAAACGATTAGCTCCCAATTGAATCAATCCCATCTGATTTATAAAATCATTAAAATATCAAGTCAATTTAAGAAAAAAGAAGAAACCCATCAATATCCTAGATTTAATTTGATTTTTTTAGATTTTTTTTTTATATGCACATTTTGTCACGTTACTCGCCAACTTGAAGCCCATTGAACAAAAAAATAAATATAAAAAGGCCACTAACAACTGCACGATATCTTATACTACCACATGACACCAAATTAAATCTTTATTATGAGGGCCCAAGACATTAACTAACCGTTTTATTAGCGTACCAAAACCAAATAGGGCCCACAACAACCAGCCCACTAGTGCAACCAGAGGCGAGAAAGCGCTTTCGAAATTCGGAGACCGCGTCGTCGAGTTCGGACATGGCCCACCACTAGCAGAACTAGTGGTGCGACTGCCGCCACCTCACGCAACTCCTTCCCACCCTGCCGACGCGTTCTCATCACCGCCACCAGTGCAGCGCAACAGGCCGCACACGCGAATGCCTGCCCGGCAACCGCGTGGCCATCCCCAACCTCTACTTCTTCACCCTCTCCCCACTTGCTATTTTTCCTAATTTTATCACAATTTTACTCATTAGCACTCTTATTTCTTATCCCGTACTTATCTACCAAACAAAATTTTTGAAAGTTGCATCCATACCACTCGATTCTTATGTATTTGCATATCTAAGAGCTGAACTTTATATCAGACCTAAAGTTTACATGTCACCGTATGAAGTGTATTTCGTTTTTTAAAAACTTAATATAATTAAGTTTTTGTGATATGAGAATTTTGAGTGGTATAAATGTAAAAGTTAAATTTTAAGTGTTAGATATGTAAATATACTAGATGGGTGGTATTTATGTAAATGCACCAATCAGGAGCATCTGCCCAAGAGAGAGAGCAATAGCACTGTAATGAACACTATTTTTGCATAACCTTTATACATGAAATTGACTCATATTTATAGGAACAGGTCTTTATATTCACATGTTGAACCCCTAGAGTTTGTAGGTATAATAAGGACATTTTAGCCTGCACATTAACATCCCCATGAAGCCCACTGATGTGGTTAGCCGTTCAGCTGTCGTTAGATCGAGTGGCCCTAAGGCCGAGAGACTACTTGTCAAAAGTCCTTGTCAACTGCCCTTAGCGTTCGACCAGATGGATCAGCTAGATTCTTTTGGGGAGATCCCTCCCTTATTTGTCTAAGATGCACTATTTCCACTATGTAAGGGCAAAACCGGACAGAAGAATGTGTAACCCTGGATCGCCCTTAGTAGGCTCCCATGATACCACCACATCACCTCTTCCATTGTCCATGAGATGTCTGTGAATTGTGCTGGTACATTTTTGATACACACATTCAAACCATATAAATCAATTATTTTTATTACCAAAAGAATCCAAATCCCCATCAAATAAAAAAAAAATCTGCAATCTTTCCTAATTGTATTTATTATGAAATAGGTTTTAAATGATGTAAGATTTCACAGATAATATCATCTGGATTGAACTTTTTGTTAACGTTCAGCTTATTAACTGTAATAAGCTTGGTTTAAGACTAATTACAACAGAATTTACTAAACTTCAAATGTAAACCTCATATACGTCAGATACTGCTCTAATACTAACTATAAATAAAAGGTAGTAGAGAACCACAGGTTACTTTAGTGCCAAGAATGGGGATATCGAGCATGCCTAACCTTGGGGATGCGTTCCTCCCGCTAGCCTTCCTTCCCCTCCTTCTCCTCAAGGATGGCGTCAGCTGGATGCTGCTTCAGGTCACCGGCGACCATCAATCCGCCATGGATTCGGCCTCCAGCATGCCGGTAGCCTCGACGAGGCATCAACGATGGAAGCCGAAGCAGGAAGGAGAAGAAGACGAATGGTGCTGCAGTGTTTGCTTGCAAGGTTTAGAAGGGGGAAGGGAAGAGGTGAGCCAAATAGTGGCTTGCAGCCATTACTTCCACCGAGCTTGCCTTGACCAATGGCGTTTGGTAGGGTTGGGAAACACCTGCCCCCTCTGTAGGTCCACACTCCACTAGATGCCCTAATTTCAAATGACAGAAAGCTTGTTTTCATTTCCTGCAGCTTTTCGGATGCAGGAGTTTTTTTTTCCTTTTTTTTTTAACTTCTACTGACTTCGTAGAGGTTGTTAAACCAAGGATATGTAGTTTTCTTCTATTCGGATATATAGATATATATAGGTTTCAAGCTTGCGAGTTTTACCAATCATTTTGGAATTTCTTCCAAGATTTAATGGTTAAGCACGATGATCAATGAAACTGCTAATATGAATTATGATGTCAAACATGTTAGAAATATATTGATTGTTTGCCTAGATAAAAATAGTAATATTAGAAGAATTGACAGCAATAATTTAAAAAGAAATAGTAATAAGAAAGAACAATTTGTCATCTAAACATTGTTTGTGCCTTTTTACCGGGATTCTGGTGGTGCGCTTCAGATATTGTGATTGGTCAGCAGAAGATAATTGACTACCGGTTTTATATATCGTTTTAATGTTAAGATTGCAGTTCAGAAACCTCTCGTTGTGCAGTCTCTACAAGGGTGTGCAAGAACTTACCGGGATCACAACCATTAGGGTTAGTAAGAGCTGCGTGAGCCAGGAAAGGAAGCTTTCTTAACGCTCTACCGCTTAACCCCTGGAACAAAAAAAAATCAAATCATGGTGAAAGAAGTGTTAGCGCCATCTAAGAAGATTCTGATTTTGAGGCGATCAGGCAAAAAGGATATTCACCTGGCAAGCTTCTGCAGCTTCGAGTAATCTTCTGAACAGTAACAGAGATTCACCAGGCTCCCCCATTTCTGAGGCATGAAGCTTCTCTTTTAGGGTTGAATAGTTTGGAAGCACAAGATCCTCACGACCCTGAAGCAAATCTTTTTTTGTGTTGCAATATATTTCAATTAAGTTCGACATATTTCTAGTGAATAAAAGGATGGAGAAAGATTACCTGAGAGAATCTGAGAATTCCAGTACGCAGAAGTTCTTGTAAACAGGACCTCAATATCTCGTATCGTGCTTGTAGAGTCGGGGGGCCAACATATGCCTTGATGTCTGCTCGATCAACAAAAGCAATATCTGCAATCTAAAGAAAGGTTAGTTTATATGCTCTGTAACTGGAATATGAACCCATCACAACAAACATCAGCTCATATATTACAGATGAATGGATCAAAATCTTGTTAAAATGTCTTCCACAGTATTATAGCAGTTGTACAACTTTTAGCAACAACATAAAGCTAACAAAAGGCATTAGAAAGCATATCATTTGAGGAAATAAAGGCTGCTATATGTCATATGCCTGTTCAACTTGACTTTAGTCTTCTTTCCCCAATCGATGAGTGAAGAGAAAAAGGTTTTACATAGAAAGCATATCATTTGAGGAAATAAAGGCTGCTATATTTCATATGCCTGTTCAACTTGACTTTAGTCTTCTTTACCCAATTGATGAGCGAAGAGAAAAAGGTTTTACATACTTACATAGCATACAAGATTATTTTATGATTGATTAAGATATAATTATTTATTAATATAAAAAATAATTTAGTTTAACTTTTGTCATGAGGTTTATCCCCCTACTAATCAAACAACTCCCTCAATTTCCTCTACTTATTTTGCTCTGCCTGTGCACCTGGTTAGCAGCAAAGGAATACAATATAATAGTGTTTATCTGTGCGTATGGGTAGGAGTGTGTGCCATTCTGGGTAGGAGTGTGTGCCATTGGGAAAAAATTTGCGCACAATAGGCGTAGGCAGGGCTGCGTACGATTTCTCGGTATACCGAGGGTATAACGGGGTTATATTCGCGGTATAACCCCTTGTAACCTTCATATAACCTTCTATAACTTACTTGTAACCTACTATATATGATAACAGAAACGTGGAACTTATTTGTAGGTTACAAGTAGGTTACATAGAGGTTACAAGGGGTTATAACACGGGTATAACCCCCTTATACCCTCCCTGTAACCTCGAAATTGCACGCAGCGCTACATACATCTATCGTACGCAATTTTTTTTCCGTGCCATTGTGGGTGTGTTGCCAAGACCTCTTCAGTATTAAATCCTTGATCTCTCACCCCTACATCAGGTGTCATTTTTTTTTTATAAAATAGAAGGCTTTATAAGGCAGCACAAATAGAACGAGAATTCCTTCGACCACTACATTTGAGAACTAAGGCATTTATATAAAAGGTGTCATACTGAATCCTTGATCTCTCACCCCTACATCAGGTGTCATTTCTTTTTTTTAATAGAAGGCTTTATAAGGCAGCATAAATAGAACGAGAATTCCTTCGACTACTACATTTGAGAACCAAGGCATTTATATAAAAGGTGTCATACTGTTATCAGAAAAATTATGCTAGGAAAATGTTTATTTCAAATCCATTAAAAAATAGGAAGATTTACATACATACCATTCAATTCTTAATGTATTTACATGTATAATAATTAAACCTCAATTTTTACATATGCATGAAAGTGCATTTCACTATATAAAAGTTAAAATGATGGCAATTTTCATGTGATATGAAAGATTTGAGTGGCATAACTGTAAAAAGTAAATTTCAGCTGTTACATATGTACACATATAGGAATTGGATGTTATGTATCTAAATGTCCCTAAAAAATAAGCTATAAGGGTATGGAAGACGAAGTTCGCCCATAGGATACCTATTGCAGCGGTTATGTTTGATGTTGTCAGAATGATCACATTTGGCCAACATTTTAGTCTGTCCATCTGAGTTAGCAATGCATTCACAACCTGAAAAAATCCAACAAGAAAAATTTAACTCTCGGGTCTTATTTCTCCTTTTATCAACAGTTAGTTGCTCTATCAACCCAAAAAAAAAAGTATGATATAATTAGTAATAAACATGATTAGATGCACTGTGTTTCCATGAGAATACCCTAATGGAATCTGATGGTTCAGAACCAGACAATGCAGCCTGCCGTGCAGCAGCAAGACTCTCAACTTCATCTGTGAATTCCAGGGTTCAAAATATAAAAAAGGTAAACAAAACTGTAAAATGATATTTTAAAGGCCTCATATAAAGACAAAAGTAACTATATCATGTAAACATTAAAATAACACTACTTAGAGAATAACAAAAAAGTACAGTAGAAATTAAAAGATTAGCAAAACTAGCAACAACTTTCTGGCCTGACTTCAGATACTATTGGTTTACATCAAATGGAGGGCATCTTCATTAAGGGAAAACAATTGAGCATGACTTCTAAGCATTTGAATGTCTTGGGCGGTGACATAAACCAAATTTATCATGACTGCCTCCTAGAAGCAGCATTCCGTCTCATGAAATGTGAAAAGAGTACAAAAAAGCTATGCTTAAAGTTCCTAGTTTAGAACTATTGAAGGATTCATTATCATTTAATCAAATGAAGGTATGAAAAATACTAATATTTAAAAAGGAAAAAGCAGAAAGCGAGGTGTTTTGCCATTATTAGATGAGTTGTAAGACTCAAAGCAGATCAAGGCTTAACTCTCAAATAAACGAAAATCACAAACTAATAAAATTAAAAAATAATTCATGAATATGAATATTTCATAAATCATCAACAGATTTACTTTCTTCATTGTCAAAAACCAAAAAATCACATAATAAGGAAAAAAATCTCAATATTAAATATTAATCTGCAATGTAAGTGTGTAACTAGTTGTAATGTGTATTTGAAGCAAAGAACAAAACTTGCTTAAACCATGATCGAACAAGGAACGAACATGATTCAAACATGCTCGAACATAAATTTTAATCTTATTTGAAACATGATTAAATATGACTTATTTGATCGTGGTTTGAACATGGTTCATACAAGCTTCAGGTATGATTCAAATCATATTCAATCATGTTTCATATACATAATATAACAACAATGAAGTATGCTTTAAACAAGTGTTCTTAAAAATCGTTCTATAATGCCTCAAATGTCTAAGGTGTTAAGTATTGTTAAGGACAGTGAGAGAAAAGCCTTGTAGCATTTTTCATGCGCATCATACCGGTGAGCCCAAAGTGACGCAGGGTTCATGTGGGAGCTTGTAAA